AATATGGAGTCCCCAGCCCCGTAGCATACGAACCTTCTCCCATTGCCCATCACTGGCTCTGAAGTATCGACATCGAATCACTGCTTCAGTGATGTTTACGCTTGAGGTGGTCAGGTTTCTTTCCACACGTGATTGGAGCATCTCTAGGTATTTGTCCATCGACCAAGCCGATACATTGCAGTCAATTAGCCGTAGATGTGGCCATAATGTCCCCTTGGATATACCTTCCACCACTACAAACGGTAATTCGTCGTCCGTTCTAAGCTCCGTAAGGGCAGGGGTCTGGTCCATTATCGTGGAAGGATATGGAAGGGCCTTAATCTCCAATAATTCAAGACTGGGGAGCGGCATAAAAGAGAGTTTTCCTCGTGCAGTAATAGATAGACTTTTGATCCTAGCCGAATGTGGTACGAGGAAGGATATATCATTGAGGGCGTATGGTGTTTTCTCGGTGATTTGGAGGGAAATGTGGGTATGGCGGCTGCGTAAGAAGCACTGCTTGGCAAAATATACCACGGCATGGTGTTTACCTTCGAAGGTAATACTCAGATCGCTCCATAGACGATATAGGCCTAACGCAACACTCCTCCATCTGGAACAGGTTTGAGCTGTTGACCACAGGGTATCGAACACGACAGATGGAATCATGATAGTTCCCGGACATAAGAGATAGAATATCTCTACTAGGATTTCTGTGGGCATTTCCACTATGCGGGTCATAGACATGGTCGTGTACTCTTAAAAGAGGTCTCCTATCTGATATTCGAAGGATTATGTTTGCCATAGCCAGTAAGAGGAGTGATACTTTACCAGATTGGCTCCTGCCCTCCAGCGTTATGGTCTGTTGGGCGTTCGTACTCTTATCCGCTTATGTGTTGTGTAGTTCGGATCTTGTTGTCGTGACTTCAAGGCGACGAGCGAAAGGTGGAGGGGACCTGACTCATAGAATTTGGCACTGGCGGCTGCACAGCGTCAACAGGAAACATGAATTAATAAAATTGTTAAGCATCGCCTTCGTGCCACGTATGTTATAATTTAGGCGCCTTCGGTCCGGATCCCGGAATCTATTTTAGGTGTGCTGAATTTATTGGCTGGAGAAGACACCAGAAGTTTAGCCAAGCATTTCGGATTTATTGAAAAATAAAGGTGTTGATTTTATGACGTTGATTCATCAGCTGAATCGCCCACTGGGCAATATCCTACGACCCAGTCATGAAGACAGAATTGTTTGGGGCCGCAGGATAAAGGTGACAATGAATAATTAGTGCGTATCAGCACTTCATAATCATGTACAGCGCATGTCGTAGAGCTACTAACTAAACAGTATTCGCCTCATGTAAAACGTACCCCCACTTGGAATTCGGATCAGCTTGCATCCACGTGGACTTCTGTCGTCAAATCAGGTGTATAGCTCATTTTCCTAGGCGCTCACTCTCTGTACCATCAAATACATGAGGAATGTGTTTTTAACTTTATTTGATTCATTGCGGTGTAAGGGATCTAAAAACCGTACCATAGCCTCGCGTTTCTGGTCAGTATGTCAAGTATGTTTCGTAGCTGGTAATCCTCGGATCTTTGAACTTAATCTCAGCAATACTCCTGTGGCAGGAGCCGGCACCCCGCCCCCACGTCAGGTCCCATACTACCAATCCCGAGGAGAAAAGTCGATTCTTCTTTATTTGGGGCCGACTGTAGCCCTGTGACAGGGTTCCTTATTATGTTATTTCCCCCATCTGTCTCTACGATTACGTGACCTGTTCCATGACTTAAATGGTAGTGCAGCATGGTGCTAATAAACCTTACACTACTGTATAATGTACAACCTATTGAGAAGGCCTTAACCGGCGAATTTGGAACGAAAAAAATGCTGGTAAGTAGAACCATAATACAAACGACTCCAGCAATCGTGATTCTGGTTATGCAGACACTCGACCTCAGTTCTAAAAGTTACACATAAATCAAATATTGGTATTAGTACTTAAGCCCAGTCAAAACCGGTTCTAATTTGGTTGATTTCAATGAGGTATATTGATTTCTGTCTGGTTTTTGGGTCAAATCATATAATTCTGTTGATATCTTCAGTGATTGCCGAGCCCTGATTCTCAATAGAAATAGATGATTTGACCCAAATAAATAGATAGAATTAAAAATTTCAAGATGAAATCAACTGAATTGAAACCGGTTTTCACTGGGACTTAAGACCTGAACAAAGTGCGTTACGGGTTATTGTATCGCTGAAAGGGGTATGTCTCAACACTATGGATCATTCCTCGACAGCTGTAGGAAAGGAAAATACGTCCTGGGGATCATATTTGTCCTTCAAGGCTCGCAAGCGGGGGTAATGTGCACCGTAATAGCGAGTTTGCCCTAGAATTATAACAGACGAATCAGACACTTCGGATCAGGCCGGTAGCACCATACGTACATTCTGGAAGCCTATCATCAATATAGTTCGGATATGCACTTTGATGTGGGGATTATAAGCGAAAAACGGTAAAGTATTTTTAAAATATACTTACCCGTAATTCCAGTTTGTTGGGCTATTCGAGATAATACTATCCACCATATCTACCCGTACACATGAGTCAAAAATATAATCACAAATTAACAAAGGGTCTTACTGTCCAAGAACGTTAGCCCGTAATCTGGAAAAGGTGGCTGCATTCCCGGAGCGGAAGCGTAGAATTGAATCGTCAGGAGGGAACTCCTGTGAGCGAAAGCTGTTGCATCTGACGGTACGGCATTGACAGCAGAGTTACTCCCTCCCCAGAGTTCTACCTCTACGAACCAATCCGACCGAGAACTATTTCAGCATTGAACTCTGCTGGGATACCGGTTTGTGAGTACATTTCAAATGCCCCAAACCCTCTTGCTACAGCATCAACGTCGAGAGTCCACATGTACTCGAATGTTGTTGCGGACGGGGGCGCAGGGAATGTCTTGACTTCAATCGAGGTCGTAACTCCGAATGATCCCCCTAAACCTCGCATGCCCTGTTCATTCAAAATTAGAGCGGCTTTAAATGTATGGGAGATCAAGGTCTTACCCAAAATAAGTCAGAGTTCTCCTTATCGCTTGCTGTAATTGTTGTCCCGTTGGCTAGGACCATGTTCACAGCTTGTATCGTATCAAGAGTCAGGCCCCACATGCGCGAAGCGAACCCATAACCTCCGTAAGCTGCTCCAAAGGTAGTAAGTAATAAAGATCACGATAGGATTGGAATGACCGTACACGAGTGACCTCCAATCCCCACATAGGCACAAGTACCATGGGGCAAGCCCCTTCCAGCTTTTGATAATGCCAAAGCAATATCACCGAGACGATTTCCACTCTCGATGGTAGCTGTACCCTGGGAAGGGTTCGCCGTCACTTTACTGAAGCTTCGCATGTCCAGCACAATGACACCATCCATCCCTCCAAGGCCATTTGCGATATAGCTATGCTTTTGAACCACGTTTTAGTTTAAGAACAGATCTCATAGTAGACACGCTACTCACACCTCCCCCACGCGCAGAAGCTTTCATGTTCAACGCAGAACTAATTTTGAGTATTTCAGACACATCCCTTGGAGTCGTTGGGTAGGTGATTACGGCAGGTTTGAAATCAAAACGCAAATTAACTGCATCATACAAGGCTTGTGGGTAAGTTATTTGTGGTGATACAGCAGGGGGGACGACATACACGCAGTGCTAGCATCAACGTACTTCGGGTCCCCAGGAAAGACTGCAGTAATGCCCGCGGTGCCTAGGCTGTCTCGTAGATTGGCTGCAGAAACTAAGGTGGAGACAAAAGCAACCAGAAAGAAACACAGGAGCCACATCGCCGTTCGATTGATGATTCTATGGGCTGATGGGGGCTGGAGTCCTCTCGGGCCGATATTATATACTAAAAATGAAATTAGCCCTTACTCGGACACGCATACCATGATACCACCATTAGTTAGTTTTCCATGGTGTATTTGGGCCGTATAACGTCATGAATCAGATATTTCCACATTTAGTATAGTCTCTTACTCCTAATCACCTCTCTGGCGCTGTTGGACCATATGGTCTTGGGAGGGGCAAATGAATGGTGGAACCGGCCACCACGGGAATATTCCGCGCTGAACGGAGGAGCATAGGAATCGTCGTACTCTGCGATTCACTGGCTGTGTTCTTCTCTTATTAGTCCTCTGCAGGTTCTCGAAGGAAGAGAACTGCTTGAATTCTCCCTGCTCACCATGACATGAGAGAAAAATTGAGCACTGAGCTTGAATGTGCGTAACATCATAGCCACCAGGGTATAAGAGACAGGGTTTGATGAAACGTTGATGCTGGAACAATGATGAGACTAAAAATAACTGGGAGAGAAAAAAAATGAATCGTGTGAACCTCGTGGCAATCCAGGGTCGCGCACTCCATTCTCCCTTTGTAACTTTAAAATTCCGTAGAGTGTTGCAAGTCGATCAAGTTAACCAGGCTTCAATAAAGCCAAACCCGACACCTAAGATTGGCACTTCGATAAGTCATAACTTCAGCGAATGCTCAGAAAATCAATCTGAATCCAATTCCAGGTTCATTACACATCCAATAAACCCAGGTTGAATCCCGAACCCACTTCCATTGTCTATTTACAATGAGGCGCACCAATTCCTGACCTGACGCTCTACACCCCAGCCAACGAACATTCTGGAAAAGGTGCCTTCACACGCCATATCTACCATTATACCGACCCCGAAAAATACATATGATAGAGGAACTCACCCATAAAATTGTATCATATCTGTGCCCAGTGGATGGGAAGGCAAATAGGAGAAACAGGGAGGAAATAGGCGTGATTTGGAATCTGGATGTGAGCTTCCAATAACTATTCTTGATTGTGTGCGGAGTTGAAACTGTGGTGGTAGTAACGCCATCACTGAAATTTATGACGTCATAACACATGCGTTAGCCTTCTATATTTCTCTTTTCTAGTATACAACGGACATTGACGTATAGAAAAACTGAGCGTGCGAGCAAACATGCCTCGTCTGGGAGTCGAACCCAGGACTCTCTGAGTATTCTTTTGTAATCGACTACGATACCAGGGCGTGTCCGATTGATACCACTACACCAACGAGGCATGAAATAAATACTTGACTGTTTCCAAATATTGTTTTTTAAATTTGGTCGCAATCGGGTTTCGATATCCATGCATTGGCCACATATTGACTAATGACCTGAACAACAATCACACTCTACTTGTCTTTTTATTAATGTGCACATTTCGGAGATCCCCATGGCCAGGAAATACCTTGTGGGTATCATGGGAGAAGGCATAACGATAAGCCACTATAACCTATAAGTAGGGAATGTAATAGTTGAGAACCCCTTTACATCGTTACTCACATTTATTACTTACACGTTGAAATAGGTGTATGTGTAATTTTAGATTTAGCTGTAGAGCTCGGCATCTACGGCACCTCTACAGTAACTTCTTCCAGTGCGGATTTATTTTCGCCAGACTCCGAAGAGAAGACTATTCGTCAATCCCTTCAGCTTCGGGATGGAACTCCCGCCATAATTGACGAGGTGGGAGTGTATTTTATCTCTTGATAAATAAATGCATCCCAAGAACGCGAAAATTGATTTCAGCTAATACAACGAAGCTAATTTTAATCGCCACCTCCCTAATTCATCCCGGGCACCCAAATCGTTCTCCCTGTAGCCTAGTAAGATTTATTTGGAAGCGCATATACGATTCCAGAGAAAAACATGCTTCGTTTTCCCACTATCCAAGGTATCTGTATCTGCTATTATTCCGGAATACAGGTTTTTACGACGTTATCTCTTGACCTAATAGCACAGCCTTAATGGATGTCATAAATAGATTCTGGAAGCATAGCCACCTAGTAAGCAGTTGAGTAGCGCTCCAATCATTAATAAATACTAGGCAGTTAGTTACCTTTCTGTTTCTGCTCGATTATCACCTAATCCTTCGCTAATCATTTCAGTAACAGAATGGCTAGTTTGTCCTCACAAGTCTCGCACGACGAACTCAATTCTACGATTGTGAGAATATGGTCCTTGTAGGTCAATTGGACATCTAGAAAGTGGGACCGCTCTAATGTTTTATCTCACATTATAGAGAGCTACTACGAGTGAGAATTTATTGTAATACGTACACTCCAAGCTGAAGGTAATGATAGTACTTCACTGTTTCCTCGTTCACCATCCTAGCTTATGACCACATCCTGACGTTTGGTGATGAGGTAGAGTATTTACCTGTTATAACATCGAAAGATGATTGACTTTATATATACCTTAGGTGCAATATATCTGGAAATACAGATGGACACCTTGTGCGACCCATACAGTGTATGCATAGACACTAAAATAACTGTTCATCAGTCAGCATCCTCTTTTTGATCAGCCGGTACTTTGCAATGCCGACAATGATATCTTATCTGTGGACCACCTGGGTAACACAGTCCGTTGAGGAAAGTCATAATGAACTTCCCCAGGTGTATGAACGCTGACCTTTCCTTTTCATATCAGTCAATATTACTCTTTGAAAGTCATATAAAGCCCTACGAGATTTTAATTGTCTTGTCGTCTGTAGTTATGTTGGTAACTGAGGCTATGTTGTTCCTCAGGTGTGCTACGTATTCACAGACACAAAATTTAGCCTGATGAGACATTATAAGGGTCTACGCTGTGTATAAAGGGAATTGGTCCATACTTGGCCTTGTATTGTTCGGTTGGGTCGCTCATTTTGTAACCATTATCGTTGCCTTCTTTATGAAAGATGGTAAGTATTCCTGCATCGCTTCAGATGTCACGTCACTAATCACACAGAGGTATAGGGTTCAACAGAAGAGACTCAGCCCCTACACTTTTTATGACAGGAGAAGCTAAATTGCTGTTGATTATGCCAGCGATTGTTTATGATTTCATTATTGGGATGCTATTGACTGTGGGCTTATATCACAAGAACCGAGCCACAGTACCACTCATCAAACTCATCATCCGGGATGGGGTCATATATCTGGCCATAGTTTTGGCATCTAACATGATCTGGGCTTTGGCTGGTGTTATACTTGTTGACCCTGTGAGTGCCAAACTGGTCAATGTATTTCTAGCTCATCCCTTCTCAGGACTTTGTTGAAGTCCCGTTTACTGTGTTAGTGATGTGAGCAGGCCAAACTATTTAGTTTATTGGGGTCTAACAGCTTCGTCGTCGTACTGGATTTAAAATTCAACAGATGGTCAGCTTGGTGAGCATTGGTTTTCATATTCACTAAAATATACTCTTAGTTTTGTAGTATAACCACCACAATGATTGGGCGGTTGAACCTCAATATTAGGAGATATGTCGACCGTCCGAGTCCCATAATAGGCCTGGATGTTGGGATGTAGAGTTGAATATACCATATTTTATTTTAAAGAGAAACGGTATCTGTTCATCCCCCACTTAAAGGACTAGTCGTCATGCTATGAATACTCCCAACGCATACCCTAGTACCCTGTACTGTATTTTGTATTCCGGTGAAACCTCAAACATTCTACTAAGTTTACAAGAAAAACCTTTTCTCACAATGGTCAGGGTATTGGGGAGATCATTGTCGGGTCTGGGATAGTGTATAACCTACACAAGATTCTACCCTGGAGGGTTTTTGCGCTGATCAGTTTATTGTGAGTTTAGCGTTAAATTAAAGATCGTAACAACGCTGGTTCCCCGCTCGAAACGAAGCCGAAAGTGCCCAGAAATTTGAAAGGTAAGTAGACCCACACGAAAATATTGATAAATAGTTTTACATCCGAGGTACTCACATGCCTCGTAGTAAATGAAAAACACCTCAAAGCAGGTTCCAAGTTAAAAATCGGAATTACTCTTGCATAAAATATGAATGGCACCAAGTGACTTTGCTTCACCGGTATCCAAACCTAAATCCGTCAGAAATACTTCACAAAGTGACCTTTTGGATAATTCTTACACAGCCTGAAGACACTTCAGTACATTTTTTGTTTTCCAATCACCCATCCTTATAATAAGCGGCCAGGGCCTAACTACTTTACGGTAATCCCGGGCCGGGAGGCCGCTAGAAGAACTGATTTCGGTTCGGGACTCGGATGTTCCCTTTTTTTTCAAAAAAACATGACAATCCTGAAGACCTCACGGACACCACTCAAGCTCAACCACCTTGAAAAGAGCGATAGCATGGCTCAGGTCAATATTTCTAAGGTATCGCATCACTGGGTATTAGAGGTACTTAACACGCACCATTTAGATACACTAATCCGGATTAAAACCCCCTAAAAATTCGAATCACACGAGACGTGCTGGTGGTTCTGAAATGTGGATGTTAGCATGTGCTGTGTGGAGGGGATTCTTTGTTGAGTCATACTAGCCCTATTTCCTCTCCACCTCATTCACCCCTTGACCAGATGGCACGCTGAGAGCGTCATGTGCTCTCTTATGAGAACGAACGTCACCTTGAACATCACCCTTTGATTTCGCCTGATATATGCACCAGAGCTAAATATAAAAAGTCCACCAGGTGCAGCTCGGCTAATCTACCCGAGTTAGGCGCTTATGTTATCCTGGAGAAACGGTATATAACTATCGGTCCGAAAGTACTCCAATTTTGTCTTCACTCTTACATTGGCCCATCAATTAGACGGCAATAATGCTCTTTCATTCATTGATTTTTGTGCTTAGCTCTACTTTGGTCTTTTCAGCTAACTTGAGGGACAGCCTTGACATTGCAGGGATAACTGCAGTGTTTCCTGGGGACCTTAAGTACGCCAATGCCAGCTCAACCTGTATGTCACCTTCTTAATCGGATCGCTATAAATACTTTTCAACTAAACTCTAGTCAATTTGCGGTTCGATTACAAACCTGCTGTTGTCACGTACCCCCAAACCCCAGAAGATATTTCCGAAATTTTGAAAATCAGCTCTGCGCTAAACTTGAAGGCCGCTGCACGAAGCGGTAGTGTAATAGCCACGTATCCTGTCGTATTATCGCATTTTAATAAACACTTCAACAGCACAGTTACATCGCGAATGGAGTCGGGGGGAAGGATGGCGCCGTAGTTATAGATATGCAAAACTTTAACAAGATTACGGTCCAGGCCTCAACAGGTACAGCACTTATTGAAAGTGGGAATCGTCTTGGGGACATTGCACTCGCGTTATCGGAAAATGGACGTGCTATACCTCATGGTAACTGCCCCTATATCGGTTTTGGTGGTCATGCAGGTGAGGAAACCTCTCTTACTTGGTAGTGTACGCCATTCATTAGTTTCTGATATAGCATATGGCGGAATCGGATTTACTTCCCGTATGTGGGGCCTCACACTGGATACTATCAAGTCAATAGATATGGTCCTTGCCAACGGTACAATACTCACGGTTAGCAATGAAAGGAATTCTGACTTGTTCTGGGTGATCTCCTGCCCTTATTCACTACCGAAAACAATGTTAATTCTGAAATTAACTTAGGGTATCCGAGGATCAGGCGGATCATTCGGAATTACAACCTCTTTCAAAGTACAGACGTTCCCAGAGCCTCCTTCAACCACGGTATTTGACTACATATGGACCCTCGATGTCGATAGCATCTCAAAGGGAATCAACGCCCTCGAGGCCTATGCACAAACTGATATTCCGCCCGAAATAAACCCCTGGGTGGCATTTTCCCGTGGGCCCTATCGAGCAACTGTGGTATTCCAAGTCACAGGCGTCTGGTACGGTCCAGAAGGCAAGCTGAACGAGACAATCGCACCGTTCCTGAAAAATATGCCGGATGCGCCACAAGTAACGCTCACGCCTGGGTCATATATCAATAGCCTTGAACTTTTAGCCGGGGGTTCACTTGATGTACATACAAAACCGGATGGACACGACACATTCTACGCAAAGTCACTCATGACTCCAGAGGATTCCCCCTTGTCTTTAGAGGCCCGCACAGCCTTTGCACATTATCTAGCAAACGAGGGTTTCGAGTCGATTATGGTAAGTGTCTTCAATCCTGACTAACGTATAGGACTAATTTCACTTTATATTAGGATTGGGCCGTAGGGATTGAACTCTGGGGTGGAAAGAACTCTGCTGTTAATGCTATTCCACTGGACGCA